GTGCTGAGATCTTCGGCACCTGGTTAACAATATTTCTGATTCGCCCGCCCGGGGCCGCGCCCCTGGGGGTCCCCAGCCGAAAAAGACCCCCGCAAGTCCCGGCCAACCCCCGGCCAATTCCCGGCCGGGTCCCGGCCGGGTCCCGGGCAGGTCCTGGCAGGCTCCCAAGAGCGCTTCAAGTGGCCTCCAAGAGAGCTCAACATGGTCCGAGACGGTCCAAGAGCGATCCAAGACGCCAAATATGCCTCCAGACAGCGCCTTCAAGACTCCCCAAGAGGCCTGCAAGAGACCTCCAAAGAGGGCACACAGAGGCAGAAATCAGCGATTTTCCTTCAGTTTCTGACGGTTTTTGGCGTTCTCGCCTTTTCGGCTTACCGGCGCTCCAAGGCGGCCCAAGAGGCTTCCAAGACCGCCCCAAGACGGCTCACGAAGCCTCCAAGAGGGCCCCAAGACTACCCAAGATGGCCCCAAGACAGCCCAAGAGGCGCCCAAGAGGCGCCCAAGAAAGCCCAAGAGGGGCCCAAGAAGGGGACAAGGAACTGAAAAGTCCAGCCTTCAGCCCCAAGAGGTCCCCAGGAGGCCCCAAGAGGCCCCCAAGAGGGCCCAAGGGGCCTCAAACAGGCACCCCAAGAAGCCCCAAGAGGCCCCCAAGAGGCCCCAAAAGGCCCCAACACGGCCCCCAAGAGGCCTCAAACCTGCCTCCCAAAAGGCTCTGAGAGGCCAACCACCAGAGCCCAACCAACATCCGTGAGGCCTCTGACCCGCCACCCACCGCCTCCGAAAAATGGCAGCCGCCCAACCGCACCGCATTGACAACAACACCCCGGCAAACGACAACGGCGAGGCGATATGTGCCAGCGGAAGCAGCGCAGCGAATACATAAGAAAAACAAGAAGGCAGGGAAGAGGAACAAGAGCAGCAAGGGAACCAGAAGCAGAAGAGAAAGAAGGCAACAGAAGACGAGGATGGTGGGAGGGAGGCTGACGACCAGCACGTCGATCCCTACTCTGCCTCGCTGTGCCCTCGCGAAGGGCGGCGGCCAGGCGGCCGCGCACCCGCACGAGGAAGGCCCCAGCCTCCGCCCGCCTGCTCCCGCTGCTGCCGCTCCCGCTGCTGCTGCTGCTGCTGCTGCTGCTGCCGCCGCCTTCCATTGCGCTGCACTGCCCGCGGGCTGCCCTCTGGAGGCACTCTACGGAACTAAGCTGGGAGGGAGGGAGGGAGGGACGAGGAGGAGGAGGAGGAGGAGGAGGAGGAGGACGGGGGATGAGGAGGAAGGGGAGAGGAGGACACCGACGACGAGGAAACGACGCGGAGGGGGGAGGAGAAGGAGGAGGAATCCGCGAGTCTGCGGCATACCAAGCAGCTCTCCTCCAGTGGGGGCTGCCCTCCAGGCCCTTTTCCAGCCAGACGAAGAAATGTTGGGCGCCATCTCGCCAGATGGCGAATCTGGCCAGATGCCAAGAATGCTGTTCGATACCAGATCGACTATGGACCAGACCGTGTCCCAGTTCGTCGCAGAATGCTTTTGGAGGCTCCATGCGCTGCTTCGCTGCAGGGTGCAGAGCTGGTTTGATTGTACAAGTCAAGTACGACGTGCTGTCGCACATCGAGGGGGCCGCTCCAGCAATTCACCACGCCGCTGCAGCCACTCTCCGCCAGTTCGACGGATTGCAAGACACATTTCTGAAAGACATAGGCTTGACGCACAAGGAAACACTGCTTGAACGCAAGAATGCGGCATTCTTGCGTGGGGCATTCTGAATGCCCCGCAAAATCGCTATCCGTGGTCTTCTCTACAAGGTTGCGCACGGGAAGGCACCGGCATATTTGGCTTCTATCTCCGAGCCGTTCAGAATCCAACTTGCGAAGTACACGGATCCTCCGTCTCCACGAACCTCTCCAACCCGGCAACTTCTCTACAAGCTTGCTTCCTGGAAGGCTCCAGCATCTTCGGCTTCTCTGTTCGGGCCATTCAAGAGCCAACCTGCGAAGTACGGACTCTCGGTGTATATCCTCGCCTGCACAGCAAGGCACTGAGCGAACCTCCCCATCCCGGCAATCCTCGAATGCTCCCTCGGTCAACATGAGGCTTGACTCGTGTCGTCAATCGCTTGAGTCAGAGCCTTCCAACATTCGCTGCCATGTTTGGCCAAGAATGCGGCCGCATCTGGCAACCATGAGTGCTTGCGCATTTTTTCTGCCCGGGCTGACGCTGCCGAGAGAGTTCACCGATCGTGCTTGTTTGCTTAAGGGCTGGTGGCAGGAGAAAAAGGAGGGCGAGAGTAAACCCAAGATGCACCAACGGAACTGCAACCCAGACGTGCGACGTCCTGATTGTTTCCATACGGGGTCCCTGGAAGTCCCGGCCCTTTCTCTGGGACCGGCTTTTCATCCTGAACCGTCGGTTGACGGCCCCGAGGCCCGGCAAGGGCCCCCCCGAGGCCGAAAACGGCCAAAAACCTCCCGTCCTGATTGTCTTACGACGCGATGATGTCTGGGAGCGCAACCTCCCGCCCAGAGTCCCCTCCCCAGACCCCCGACGTCATGATTTTTTCATGACGCGACCCCCAGAGGTCCCGACCCTTTCCCCATGACCGGCTTTGCATCCTGAGTCGTTTTTTGACGCTCCCGAGGCCCGGTGAGGGCCCCCGGAGGCCGAAAATGAAGGAAAACCTCCCGTCGTGATTTTTTCATTACTCGAGGGGGTCTGGGTCCTCAGAAGCCCCCCGCAAGCCTCCCTGCTCCAGATCCAGGGGCGCCCCGTGGAAGGACCGGCGCCCCGTGGGGCCTGCCGGCCGTGCCGGCGAGAGCCCCGCTCTGAAGAGGAGCGAACTGCCCTGCATCACTCTAGCAGGGGAGGAGGAGGAGGAGGAGGAGGAGGAGGAGGAGGAGGAGGAGGAGGAGGAGGAGGAGGAGGAGGAGGAGGAGGAGGAGGAGGAGGAGGAGGAGGAGGAGGAGGAGAGGAGGAGGGAGGGGAGGAGAGGAGAGGGAGGAGGGAGGGAGGAGGAGGAGGAGGAGGAGGAGGAGGAGGAGGAGGAGGAGGAACACGAGGAGGAGAGCACGTAGCGATCTTAGTTGTGAAAAGGACCGCCCCCGCCTGTGTCACCAACACACAGATTGCCGCTTGTGGCCATGAGTGCCGCGGAACTTCCAGGCAAAACACCCGCATGTTGACGAGGAGCCACCTTCTATGCTTGCAGCTGTTGCATCTGTTCATGTTCTCAGTCCTCACACTAACAACGTCTGAATGACACTCCACAGTCTGTAGAAGAGCTGCATGTCATCCACGCAGCAGATGCATATGTTCAAGCTGCTGGTCTCCAATGTTGGAGACGTCTTAAGGGAAACCCCCATTCGATCAGGAATCGCCCACATGCCCTGAAACTGCGGCAAGCTTTCAGGCCCACTGCTCGCGGCGCCGAGGCGAGAGCCACATCTTGAAAAGGAACCGCCCTTCATCCTTTCAGCCGTTGCACTTCTCAAGACGAGCGCGCGGCGCTCAGGCGAGAGCCGCATCTTGAGACGGATCCGTCCTCCATCCTTGAAGCTAGTTCACTGCACAACGTTTGACACGAATGCGCGCGGCGCTGATGCGAGAAAAACCATGTTGAAGACCGTCCCCTCGCACGCCAAACGGCCGCAAACTCTTGAAACGAATGTCCGTTGCGCTGAGGCGACTCCCCCCCTTCCACCCTTGGAGCTGTGGCGAATTCCAAATGTTAGGATCGAGTGGTGAAGGCGTCTCGAGCGAAACGCCCCGCCCGCCCTGCCGGTCCGTCTGCTTGGCGACCGGGGGGGAATGAGGGCGGAGGAGAAGGGCGGAGAAGGAGGGCGAAGGAGGAGGAGGAGGAGGAGGAGGAGGAGGAGAAGGAGGAGGAGGAGGAGGAGGGAGGAGGGAGGAGGAGGAGGAGAAGGAGAGGAGGAGGAGGAGGAGGAGGGAGGAGGAGGAGGAGGGCGGAGGGAGAAGGAGAGGCGCGGAGGAGGAGGGAGGGAGGAGGAGAGGAGGAGAAGAGGAGGAGGAGGAGGAGGGAGGAGGAGGAGGAGGAGGAGGGAGGAGGAGAAGGCGGAGGAGGAGGACGAGAAGATGAGCGTAGGGGGGGAGCGCGTCTTCCAACCTACGGCGGCGGGAGCGAGAGCGAGACCTCTTTCTCTCCTCGTAATCCTCCTCCTCCCTCCCTCCTCTCTCTCTCCTCCCTTCCTCCCTTCCATCCTCCTCTCCTCTCCTCTGCCCCTCCTCCGCCTCATCTCTTCTTCCTCCTCCTCCTCCTCCTCCGCCTCCTCCTCCTCCTCTCCATCCCTCTCCTCCTGCTCTTTTTTGGACGCCCGAGATGGGTACGGAAAGAATGGGTACAATGCCCAACAACAAATGTTGCCTCAAACCAACAGCGGACGCTGTTGGGCAGGCGGCCTTCTGTCTCGAATGGACACAGGCCGCGGCGGCGCGGACAGCGAGTCCTGTTCAAAATGAACAGGAACTGCTGTTGGGCATCGTACCCATTCTTTCCGTACCCATTTCGGGCGTCCAGATCTTTGATTGCTGTCTTCGCCTGGCCACCCTCCCGAGTGCCCGCCCCGCTGGCCCGGGCCTCCTACCAGCGCGTTCGTGGTCGTCTGCCTGCGCTCCCCCCTTGGCCTGACAGCACAGCCTGTCTGGGCCATGCTTGGCGGCGCGCCGATCTGTGGCCGCCGATGGAGGCGACTGGGTTGATCGTCCCATTTCTCTTCCTCCCCAGTTTCTGGGTGTCTCGTCTGTGGTGCTCGCGCGCGCCCAGGCCGGTGCAGCGCCGCAGCGCGCACGCAGGCTTCCCTCCTCCTCCTCCTCCTCCTCCTCCTCCTCCTCCTCCTCCTCCTCCTCCTCCTCCTCCTCCTCCCACCCTCCTTCCTCCTCGTCTTCCTCATCCTCTCCATATCCACTCCCTACTCCTCTTCCTCCTCTTCCTCCTCGTCCTCCGCTTCCTCCTCCCCTTCCTCCTCCTGATCCTCCCCTCTCCCTTCCTTCCTCAACCCCCTTGCCAATCATCCTTCTCCTTCCTCAGCGCCTCCTCCTGCAGGCGGGCAGGGAAGGCAATCGCCGGGTGAGCTTGGGGCGGCCCCGCTGGCGCCAGAGATGCCGGGTCGGGGCGGTCGTCCCAGTCCTCGCCCTCGGCGGCCTCGCGGGGCAGGCGCCGGAAGAGCCAGTCACAGTAGGAGGGAAGCGGGTGCTGGAGAAGAGGGGCTCTGGAACTGCTCCGTTGTCTCCTCCTCCTCCTCCTCCTCCTCCTCCTCCTCCTCCTCCTCCTCCTCCTCCTCCCTCCTCCCAGGGGCCCCCCGGGCCGCTGTCGGGCCCGGGGGCCGTGCAACCGTGGCGCGGCACGAGGAGCGTGCCCCGAGGCAGCTCCTGGGGCCTCTTGGGCCCCCTGGCCCTCGAGGCTCCCGTCCTGCACGGCGGCCAGGCACGAGGGCGGCGGGCCCGGCAGGGTTCTCCGGGCCAGCCGGCGGGCTGCAGGCCCCACGGGGCGTCGGACGGTAGAGGGAAACAATTACTGAACACTCCCCCTCCCCCCCAAACTCAATGTTGGCACGCGCGGGGGAGACTGCGGCCCAAGTGCATCTCATCAGACCCACCGTCAACTTTGAACATTGGGGGGAGGGGGAAGCGTTGACGGATGAATGTGGCATGAGTGTTCGCTAATTTGTTCCGAAGCCTGGAGCACGACTGCTGTGGGGAGGGGCCTGGGAGGCTCGGGCGCCCCCGCCTCGGACAGGTCAGGCCGCCCGGCGTCTGGGGGGGGGGAGGAGAAGGGAGAGGTGGCGCCGCTGGTGGATGTGGAGGGGGCGCGGAAAGGGCAGGGGCTCCGAGGCTGTGCACGAGCCCGTCGACTGTCTAACAGTGCATCTGCGTCGCGATGCTGAGCTCCCGAGTCCTTGTTTTTGACAAGCCTGTCGTGCCCCTCATGCGACCAGGAGGTGGGAGGAGAAGGGAGAAGAGGCGGAGCGGGAGGAGGAGGAGGAGGAGGAGGAGGACGAGGAGGAGGCAGAGGGAGGAAGAGGAGGCAGGGTGATGAGCAGGCAGAGTGAGAGGAGGAGGGGGATAAGGAGGAGGAGGAGGAGGAGGAGGAGGAGGAGAAGGGAAGGATGAGTGCCCAAGGATGATTCTAAAGGGCAGCGAGCCATCGGTAGAGGAACAAGAAACTGAATATGCATAAACTCTCGGGGCTCATAGCAGCCTTCTTGGATCGGAGCTGGGGCCTCCTGGCGGCCGTTCCGGCGCCGCCCCAGGCGCGTTCCTCGCGCCAAGGAGTTCCGAGAAATCCGACAAGGTCCGCGCGGAGTTTCGAAAACTTCTGTTTATGCAATGTTTCACCCAACAGTGCTTCACTTGGGAGGATATACTCATCTTCTAAGGAACTGGCCTCGTGTGCCGGTTATGTCGCCGTCGTCGCCGCCTCGCTGCCGCCTCGTCGCCGCGCGTCGTCTGGGCTGGTGTGCCGCTCTTGCGGTTATGTTGCCGCCGTCCCCGGCGACACAAAACAAGAATTCTCCGTTCGAATATAGAAATGAAACCGACTGCCATCCCGAAGCTGGAAGTATCCCGCCTTGGGATGTAGAATTTACCCGCGTTTCTTCCCCACCGCCCATCCTACATATGAGTTTACATGACGCCAGCCAAGCCAGGTTCGAACCCCAACTCATCCTTTGCGAACTAATTATATGCACATGTGCTCGCTGATCGAAATCAAACATGTTCGATTGCCCTTCGCACCAGGAAGGGACGGAATGCACACGCGCACGTCGTCGCGCGCGCATGCCAGAACACATGAAAAACTCTTCAGAAAGCCCGTCAGCTTCGCACAGGTTTCTAAATAGAGTGTCCCGAAAACTGTTGAACGACCTTGGTTATGCAACACGGCTGTTCGAATTAAACATTGCGCGCGCGTTCTTGTGAATTTTCAGGAAACACAGCGCTGTCAACCCGTTTCGCCAAATCTGACCAAACGTACCTCTAGCGCGCATGTCGAGTTCATTCGAACGCCATTGCGCGCGTTGTGCCGTTGTCGGCGTCGCCATGATGCCGCGCCCGCCCGAGTCACAGACTCGCACGGAAGTGCCCGCGTGCCAGAGCGGCCTGCGAGACGCGCTGGGAATTGTCTTTCGGTCGGCGCCACTGGGGCCGCATCGATCGCACAAGAATAGCTGGCCGCTCTGCGCGCGACTGCGCGCGAATCTGCGCGCGCAAGCGCGGCCGCAGCGATGAGACAGCCAGCGCCCAGCAATCATCGCAATCGCCGCCGCATGGGTTTTGCAAACCAAGTTGCGGATGGGTAACTGGATGGTTGCGCGAGCAGTGGGGTTGCGTAGTTCAAATTTGGCAGGGTGACGTCTCCTTTCTACAAGAGACGTAGGTCCCACCACCCTCCTGAGGGCAGGTTTAACGCCTCACCCTGGGGATATATTTGCATGCGTTTATTCCCCATCTCGCATTCCGAAAATAAAACCATACAATCCCAGCCAAGCCGGTACCGACCCCCTTCCCGCATCGCTTACACACCACACTATGCGCGCACACTCGTATATAACAAATGAGGTCCCGAAATCCTTTACAACAGACGGGACGAAACGCACACACGCGCGCGGTCGCGCCCGCATGCCGAAATCAGTCACAAACCGTAGGCGCAGTTAGGATTTCAACATCGAGTGCCCTGGAAACGTGAAACAAACAATTGGTGTTGCAGCACGGTTCCCAAACATCTGCGCTCGCGCTCTTGCGCATCCTGAAACATGGGTTGCTCAGCGTGTTCATCGAGCTCGACCAAGCGGGCCTCTCGCGCACGCATGTAGACATCATTACAACGCCCTTGTGCGCGTGCTGGCGGGGAGGCACCATCCTTTTCAAACAAAGCCTTGCGGGCGGTTCGCGCCTGTCGGCCGCGCGCGCAGGCCGAAATCCCTCCAAAACTGGCATCGCAGGCGAGGTTACCCTTCGTGGGCAGTGTGGGTTGGGCGGCGGGCTTCCTACGGTGGGAGCTCGACCACAACAAACCTTCCACAACAAAACCCGACCCTGAGACCCCAGAACGGCCACTGATCTTTGGTGTGGGAACGTCGCGCTCTCCATCGCAAAACCATCAAAACCCAAGAAACCCAAGAAACCCAGGGCACCCTGGAGGCTAGCAGGGTGTCTCTTGGCATGGCCTTCCACTGTATGGGCGGGCGGAGAGGCCCTTGCGCCTTCCCTCTGCGGCGCGTGCAGGCCACGCTGAGGTGAGCCCACCGATGACCGCCCTGGCAAGGGACTGGCACCAGCAACGGCACCAGCCACTGCCAGCCACTCGCCTCGGCCTCTGCCAGCCTCGCCTCGGCCAGACTCCCACGCCACACCGCACCTACACATGTGGCCACCGGCGAGAGCGGCTGCAGCGTGAGCATCCCACCTCCACTCCCTTCCTCTCCTTTCTTTGGTTCAGGTCCTCCTCCTCCTCCTCCTCCTCCTCCTCCTCCTCCTCTGCTCATCCACCTCCTCCTCCTCCATCCTCCTCCTCCCCCTCCTCCTCCCTCCTCCTTCTCCTCCTCCTCCTCCTCCTCCTCGTAATCCTCGTCCTCCCCTCCTCCTCCTCCTTCTTCTCAGCCCCTCCTCTCCTCCTCCTCCTTCTTCTCTCCCTCCTCCTCCTCCTCCTCCTCCTCCTGCTCCTCCTCCTCCTCCTTCCTCCTTCCTCCTCCTCCTCCTCCTCCTCCTCACCCCTCCTCCTCACCCCCTCCTCCTCCTCTTCCTCCTCCTCCTCCTCCTCCTCCTCCTCCTCCTCCTCTCTCCTTTCTTGCTCGTCATTTCAGTCTCTCTGTACTTACCAGTACTCTCGAGACTCGGCCTACCGGTCGCGAGGCAACTAGTTTGATCGTCCCCCCCCGCCCCCCCACGGGCCGACCGGCCTTCGGGGGGGGATGGCCACGCCAGGATGCCCTCACGACCGAGAGAGAGAGAGAGGGAGAGAGAGAGAGAGAGAAAAAAAAAAAAACAGAGAGAGGAGGAGGAGGAGGAGGAGGAGGAGGAGGAGGAGGAGGAGGAGGAGGAGGAGGAGGATGTGGAGGATCGCGGAGAACGAGAAGGAGGCGGAGGAGGAGGAAGGGGAGGAGGAGGATCGAACAAAAAAGAGGAAGCTGCGCAGGCGTGCACTGCGCAGGCGTGCACTTCCGAGAGAGGCCGCGGTCCTCCCAGGCGGCGTCGTGATCGTCGAAGTCGCCGGGGTCGCTCCAGGCGTCTCTGCCCTCGTCGGCGTCGTCGTCCGAGCGGCCTCGTCGGCACCCGCACCGCCACGCCTCCTCCTCCTCCTCCTCCTCCTCCTCCTCCTCCTCCTCCTCTCACTCGTCGTCTCCCTCGCCCCTTTTTCGGGGGCCCGCCAGCGGCCCCGGTCCCCCCCGGTCGTCGCGGGTCCTTTTCTGCGGGCACGGTTCAAATCCATATCCGCTGCGGCTTGGACTTGCTGGGAAGGCCAACAGGCCGCGGCGCAGCGGATATGGAGAAAGATTTGACTTCTGGGGGCGGAATTGTTTTATCCACATCAACGGCACCTCTGGCATCGGAGGGAGCCCGAAACTCCAAGACGCAGTGGATATGGATAACAATCTTGCCCGCATCCTTTGACGATGGCCAGCTTCTGAGCATCGGCGCTCGCAAGGTGCTCATGAGCAGGGAACACCGGCAACAATGCAGAGTATGCGCCAACCGGGTCGGAAAGGGTGCGGGGAAGCCCAGAATCGAATCGAGAAATAGGACCGGCGATCGGAATAGATCGGATCGGCGGCAAGCGGCAGCCAAGCCAGGCAACGTCGAATCGGCAGAAACCGGCAGGCTGGCAGGCCTCGAGTGAGAATTCTGAACCCTCATGGGCACCTGAAGTCGACTCGGATCGGAATCTGAATCCATCCGAATCGGATCGGATCGAGTCGGGGAGCCAAATTGAGCACTGGGGTGTGGTGGAGGTGATAACGTTAGGTCGGGCATGTCCCCCTACAGGCAGGTTTTTGATGGAAAAATACAACAGATGCAAAAGAGTACTACCACATAGTCCAGAAATACAGTAATCAAAAAATCGTCCCCGTTCTACTTATTGCTATTCTGGAACATGTTTTTCCTGTAGAGGGACAGGCCCGACTTCACGACAGCGAGGGGGTGCAGCCGGATTTGATTGGACGGGACGCGCGAGAGGACACAGGACCCTGCCGAGGGCCACGTGGCCACAGAGCTGCAGAAGGCGCGGGCCGCAAGACACGGGACACGAGGGCACCCTCGATTCGGCAGGGCCGACCTGCTAATCCGGGCCGCCCGTGCCGGTTTCTCCTGCTGCTCCTCCTTCGCGCGGGGCCGCGGGCAGGCGGCCGCGGCCTCCCCGCGGGCCCCCCCGAGAGCGCTCGGGGGGGGGGCGGGGGGCTGCCCCTGCCTCAGGACACGGCAAGGAGCCCGAACGCGTGCAGCAGTCTGCACGAGCGGAGGAGGAGAAGGAGGAGGAGGAGGAGGAGGAGGAGGAGGAGGACGGAGGAGGAGGGAGGAGGAGGAGGGAGGAGGACGGGGAGGAGAAGGAGGAGGAGGAGGAGGAGGGAGGAGGAGGAGGAGGAGGAGGAGGAGGAGGGAGGAGGAGGAGGGAGGAGGAGGAGGAGGGAGGAGGAGGAGGGAAGAGGACGGGGAGGATGAGGAGGAGGAAGGGGAGGAGGAGGAGGCGGAGGAGGAGGAGGGAGGAGGAGGAGGAGGTGAAGGAGGCGACCTGGGAGCTTCTGTGGAGCGGATGGCCCTGCCGAGGGGCTCCCCTCCATCTCCTCGAGGAGGAGGAGGAGGAGGAGGAGGAGGAGGAGGGCGAATTCTCTTCACAAGGGCTTGGCTCCGCGGGGCAAATCTTCGAACAGCTCATGGCCAGGACCGCGGATCGCGACCTGGCACAGCAGACATGACGTATGTGGGGCCCAGCCTCGTCTCGAAGCGGGGGCATCGCTGAGACACCCTGCTGATTCGCAGAGTCGTGCCGTGCCCGATCCTGACTGCTCGCCGAATCGATGCAGTGCGGCTCCGTTTCAGAATGGGGCTCTCGCCAGAAGGGCAGGTAGAAAGTGCGCTGGTCGTTCAAGGTGGTGCTGCTTACGGTGACAAGAAACACTTCAGAGGACGAGGAGGGGCCTTGGAACGGGGAGGTGCATTCCAGCATCACTCAGATATCGAAGCTGGCAAACAACAAATCCTGTTTTGTGTCCATGCGCGGGCGTCCCAAGTTGTTTTTGGTTGACGCGCTCCCGGGTCCCGGGGCCGGCGAGGGCGCCCAGAGACTGAAACTGGCCAACGAAAACCCGTCGCGATCCTGAGCGTTAGGTCGGGCTTGTCCCCCTAGAGGGGGAGCTTGGACGAAGCATAAAACATTACACCAAACAGCTAACGGAAAGATGCCCCCAAAATGGTCAAACCTCGTCCCCAGACTATGTTTTTAGATGTAATTGTTATTATTGCATCTTCTCCCTGTAGAGGGGCAGGCCCGACTAAACTTCCACGGCGGGAGCATGTCTGGGTCTGCACCGCTGGCGGCCCGAGCGCGCCACGGTCTCCGGGAGGCCTGCCGGGCCCCGGCGGCTCCCGCCGAGGCTCGCGCGCGCCGCCTCCGGGCAGCGGCCCGGCGGGGCGCCGCTGACAGGTCAGCGCCCGGAATCCTCTCCCACCCCGCTCGTCGTTGGCGTCGTCGTCGCCGCCGTCGCCGTCGCCATTGCCGTCGCCGTCGCCGTCGCCGTCGCCGTCGCCGTCGACGTCGTCGTCGTCGTCGCCGTCGTCCACTACAGAACTGCTCTACCCCAAACTTGAAATGTCTGTCGAATCTGCGGAAGACTGATCTGCTAGAAGTACGTGTATGTTCTGTCGATTCGACGATAGCCAATTCTAGGGTAAATGAACTCTGTAGTCGATCTCCTGCTCGAGACACAGAAAAGGGCACCAACATAATGTCTCCGAGGTCCGCGCGGATTTCTTGGCCCAGGTGCCGATCCAAGAGATCTGCGCGGACCTTTGAGAAATCATGTCTGCCGCTCCTTTCCTCCTCGGTGGACGGCCCTCTACGAGGACCATGCATCCCGCCGCCGCCCCCAGCCAGGACCCCCCACTCCCGACCTGGTGATGCAGGGGGTCCTGGCTGGGGGGCGGCGGCGGCGGTTCTTACACAAACATGCCCCCCCCCCCGACCCCCAGCCAGGGTTAAGTCGGGCCTGTCCCCCTACAGGGGGATTTTCGACAAAAAATTAAAGATTCCCCCAAAATAATCAAATAGTAATGTAAAAATAGTCTGGGGACTTCTTTTTTTCAAAACAAAAAAAAATGTTACCTTTTTGGGGTATCGTATTTTTGATCTGTCGTCGACAATCCCCCTGTAGGGGGACACGCCCGACACAAAAAGCCAGGGCTTCCCGGACCACCAGGTCGGCAGTGGGAGTCCTTCCTGGCTGGGGGGTGGGGGTGGGCGGGGCTGGCCCCACCTGCGTGCTCCCCGCCGCTGCGCGCCCTCCTTCGCCCTCCTCCGCGGCCGCTCCGGCCTCGCCCTCCTGGAGCAGGGCCCTACGCTGCGCAACAATAAAACGACGCGAAGATCGGGACAAAATCGGATCGGGATGACTCGAAATCTCTGAGAATCGGCGGGTTCGGCCGATGTATTGGGCGCCGCGGCCGCTCCAGAGCGTTCCGGAACGCTCAGAGAGCGCTCCAGAACGCTATGGAGCGATTTATCCCGATCCTAGTCCTGTTTTACTGGAGCAGGGCCCTACGCTGCGCAACCAAACCCCCTCCGGGCCCCGTCTGCTGCTGCTACTGCTGCTGCTGCTGCTGCTGCTGCGGCTGCTGCTGCTGCTGCTGCTGGACGCAGCAAGCCCCACATCGCCATCGCTCGGACGCCCATTCCCCATGCATGTTCCGGCTTCTTGCGCTGATTCTACCGCAATGTGATCAAAGATGCAACTCGATGGTGCTCCCGATGAACATGCACACGTCCGAGCGATGCCAAGCCCACGTCGCCACCCACATAAATGTATCCCGTCCAAGGGAGGTGGGATGGGTGTTGGACGCGGCCGGGGGGTCTGAACTGAATGGGCCTCCAAAAAGCTGCCAAGAAGGACAGACAAGGGCAAATCCACTCAACATGACCCGCCAGCCCCACGGCATCCGTTTTTGATGGCACACTTTTCACCCCGGATCCGTTGACGATGGCCCTGGCTCCGGAATCGGCCACCTCACATCGAAAAAACAAGAAACCTTCCCCTTCCTGCTCGCTGGACACTGTGCGGAGGCACGTCAGCCCCCCAGGCAGCTCCAGGGGGGGGGGGACGGCGACCAGCATGCCGCGACGAGGACGAGGGATCAGAATGATGAAGCAAGAAAGGACCCCGGACCCTTTGGAAGGTGACCTACGCTAGGAGGGCCAACACACATTGGGAATCGGGCCTCTTCTCTGCAGACGCATCGAACCAAGCCGCCCAGGTCTGTGATCCCTGATGCAAAGACGGGGACCTCAGTGAGGCTAGGTGTTCACTGCGTTATTCGGCTTAGGGCTGCACCTCTTCTCGATGGCAGAAGGGGCGCAGAAGCGGCGGGCGAGCACTGCGGGGCCTCCAGGCTTCTCGCCGTAGCAGTTCTCGAAGGAGTCCCAGTGGCCGCGCTGCCTGCCATACGTCACCTCTGAGCGGAGCGCGCCCTTCCAGCCGGAGTGACGCAGGCCTCGTGCTCCTCCTCCTCCTCCACCTCCTCCTCCTCCTGCTCCCCCTCCTGCTCCTCCTCCTCCAGCTCCACTTCCTCCTCCTCCTCCTCCTCCTGTCCTCTTGCTCCTTCCCCGCATCCTCCTCTTCCGCATCTACTATATCCTACCCCTTCCCAGCCTCACGCATCAGTCATGCATCCTCCGTCTTCACTCCTCCTCACTGCCCCTCCTCCCTCCCGCCCCTTCCTCTTCTCCCTTCCTGGCTGCCACCCTCCTCCTCCTCCTCCTCCTCCTCCTCCTCCTCCTCCTCCTCTTTCTCCTCCTCCTCCTCCTCCGTCTCCTTCTCCTCCTCCTCCGCCGCCTGCTGCTCATTCCTCCGCGTCAGCGCTGGGATGTTTTGACCGCAGCTGTTACTCCTGCGCCCCCCATCAGACAGCCAAACTCTCAAGAGCCCTGCTGGCGAATGCTGCACAGTCTGCGAGGAGGATGCGAAGACGGGAGGAGTTGTCGGATGGATGCGGGCGAGATGACGAGAAGCTCAAATACTACCGCATCGCCTCGGTGGTATGGTTCTTCTCATGCTTGCTCGTCGCCATGCGGCGTGAGCCCCGGCTACTCAGGGCAATCGATTGCGTATAAACGGCTTCCAGAATAACTGGCGGGCAAGTAGATACATAAACGAACAAGACAGAGATAAATACATAGGCAGAGGAGGGATAACAAAACTTACGCAGACTGTACACACATACATCGTCACATGGATAATGACAGGCAACGCGAGAGAAATGACAAGAGAGAGAGAGAGAGAGACAGCGAAGTACAGAAAGAGGAAGAGAAAGAGAGAGAAAGAGTCAGAGAGAGAGAGAGAAAGAGAGAGACAGAGAGACAGAGAGACAGGGAGAGAGAGACCGAACACGCATAAACCTAAGTATATGCATATAGAGAGAGTGTGTATATACAGAACTATCGGAGGTTGGGGGGTGAGATCGAAGTGGAACGGAGAGCCCCCCTACCGGGAAATCGATTTCGGTTTCGTGTTCGTGCGTGCCGTGCGTGCGGGCGAGGCGAAGCTGCGTGGGCGGGCGAGAGGAAAGTCTCCTGTGGCTGAGGCGCGGCCGGACCAAATGATTCTCCACCGGGGCGCGGGGCCGCGCGGTGTCCCGCCGGTGTCCCGGTGGTGTCCTCTGTGGCTGAGGCGCGGCCGCACCAAATGATTCTCCACCGGGGCGCGGGGCCGCGCGGTGTCCCGCCGGTGTCCCGCGGTGTCCCGCGGTGTCCCGCGGTGTCCCGCGGTGTCCCGCGGTGTCCCGCCGGTGTCCCGCGGTGTCCCGCGAGGACGATGATGATGATGAGATGATGATGATGATGATGACGACGACGACGACGATGATGATGATGATGATGATGATGATGATGAGGTGATGATGATGATGGTGTCCCGATGAAGATGATGATGATTTTGATGATGGTGTCGATTATGATGATAGTGTCCCGATGATGAGGATGATGATGCTCATGCTGATTATGTTGATGATGACGATGATGGTGTCCCGATTATGATGATGATTCCGATGATGTTGGTGATGATGATGTTGATGGAAATGGTGTCCCGGCGATAATGATGTTGATGATGATGTTGATGATTATGGTGTCCCGATGATGATGCTGATGATGATGATGGTGATGATGATGATGGTGATGCTGATGGTGTCCCGATGATGATAATAATGATAATGACGATGTTGATGATGATGATGTTGCTCATGATGATGATGGTCCCCCAAGGATGATGATGTTGATGATGATGTCGATGATGATGATGATGATCATGATGATGATGGTGTCCCGAGGATGATGACGATGTTGATGATAATCTTGATGATGAGAACGATGGTGATCATGAGGGTGTCCCGATTATGATGATGATTATGATGATGCTGCTGATGATGATGACGATGACTGTGTCCCGATGATGATGATGATGACGATGATGATGTTGATGATGATGTTGATGATGGTGATTATGATGATGATGTCGTCCCAATGATGATGCTGACGTTGATGATGATGTTTATGATGATGATGATGATGCCGGTGCCCTCATGATGATGACGATGTTGGTGAAGATGCTGATGTTGATGATGTTGATGATGATGATGATGATGACGTTGATTGTGAGAGCGATTGTGATATCGATAGTGAGATCGATATTGAGTCCGAGTGTGAGATCGATTGTGTGATCGATTGTGGGATCGATTGCGAGATCAATTGTGAGATCGATCGAATGAGATAGATCGAGTGAGATCGATTGTGAGATCGATCGAGTGAGATCGATCGAGCGAAACCGATAGTGAGATCGATACTGAGATCGATAGTGGGACCGATCGAGTGAGACGTTGGTTCCCCCCCCCCCCGAACCTCCTTATCACCCGAAGGGTGGTCGTATAGGTATGTGTATATCGGAGGTGAGGGGGTGAGATCGAAATGGAACGGAGAGCCCCCCTACCGGGAAATCGGTTTCGGTTTCGTGTTCGTGCGTGCCGCGCGTGCGGGCGAGGCGAAGCTGCGTGGGCGGGCGAGAGGAAAGTCTCCTGTGACTGAGGCGCGGCTGGACCAAATGACTCTCTTACAGTAACCGGTGCCGCGCGGTGTCCCGCCAGTGTCCCGCTGTGGCTGAGGCGCGGCCGGACCAAATGACTCCCTTCCGGCGTCCGGTGCCGCGCGGTGTCCCGCCAGTGTCCCGCCAGTGTCCCGTCGGTGTCCCGATGATGATGATGATGATGATGATGATGATGATGATGATGATGATGATGATGATGATGATCATGATGATGATTATGATGATGATGATGATGTCGATGATGTTTGTGATGATGATGGTGATGCTGGTGATGATGATGGTGTCCCGATGATGTTGATGATTATTATGATGATATGATGATGTTGATGATGATGGTGATAGTGGTGGTGATGATGATGTCCCGATGATGATGATGTTGATGATGATGATGACGATGTTGCCGATGATGGTGGTGATGATGGTGTCCCGATGACGATGATGATGATGTTGATGATCCTGGTGATGTTGATGATGATGGGGTGATGATGATGATGGTGGTGTCTCTATCATGATGATGATGAGGTTGATGATGAGACTGTTGATGATGATGGTGTCCCGGTGATGATGATGTTGACGATGGTAATGATGATGACCATGATGGTGCCTGGATGGTGATGATGTTGATGATGATGACGATGAGGTGGTGATGATGATGGTGTCCCGATGATGATGATGATGTTGATGACGTTCGTGACGATGATGATGATGATGTTGATGACGTTGATGACGATGATGCTGATGATGATGTTGGTGACGTTGATTGTGAGATCGATTGTGATGTCGGTAGTGAGATCGATAGTGAGACCGAATGCGAGATCGATTGTGAGATCGCTAATGAAACCGATAGTGAGATCGATTGTGATATCGGTACTCAAATCGATTGTGAGATCGATCGAATGAAAGAAATCGCGTGAGATCGATTGTGAAATCGATCGGGTGAAATCGATCGAGCGGGACCGATAGTGATATCGATAGTGATATCGATAATGAAACCGATCCAATGACACGTTGGTTCTTCCCCCCCCGAACCTCCTTATCACCCGAAGGGTGGTCGTATAGGTATATATATATATATATATATATGTAGACATAAATGAGAGAAAAGACAAGGAACACGGAATGAAGTGTGATGAACAGGGGGAAATCAGGGGATGAAAGGGTGAGAGGAGGCAGTGGAGGAAGACGATGACGAGATGAAGTGAGAGGAAGTGAAAGAAAGAGAGAGAGAGAGAGAGAACAAAAAAAAGAGGGAGAGAGAGAGCTAACAGCACAAATCCCGGTGGCGAACACCAAACCTGGTAGCGTTGAAAATCCCGGTGGCGAACAGCAAGTAAGCGCGGCCAAACGCGGCGGCGCGACCATAAACACGCAGAGGTCAATCGCTCGGTGAGAGTCAGGCGCTGGTGGGGATACTTTTTTGGTCGCGGCCGCGGGCGAAAGCGCAAGCGGCGAGTTGTTAATCTGGGGCGCGGGCCTAACTGGTGGGGATATTTTTTTGGTCGCGGCCGCGAGCGAAGAGCGCAGGCGGCGAACAGGGTGTCCGGGCCGACGGGCAAACCTAATTAGCCACTGGGCGCAGCAATAACGCACCGGGCCAGCTCACTAAGGCGGCAGCTGGGGCAGCGGCTGCGGGGGGCTGGCAGGCTGAACTGGAACGCCCAGGGAAGCTCGAGCAACGTGAAGCTCTGAGCAAAATGCTAGGGAATTCTGTGTTACGCGCAGAGGCGTCAGACCACTCAGGCGGAGGTGCAAGCTGGAACAGGTGGGGCGACCTGCACGTGCGATCCTCACAAACATGGTGGTGGGGAAAGGCGAGGTACACGCTGGTCGAGTCGCCAGGGGACGCCAAGGGCAAGGACCGTGTCAACGGCGCGGACCAGCCAGGGAGGCTGGGCAGGGGCCGTGAGGACGGCGTAGACCTGCCTGGCGGGGATACTTGTTGGTCGGCGGCTCCGAGGCGGCGGACAGGGAGCGGTAGACGTCGTCTGGGCCAGCAGGCGAAGCTAATTAGCTACAACAGGCAATGCACCTGCAGTTAAAACCCGCAAGTACGCGAGTATGCACATGCGGTAAGCAAAATGCTGGTTTAGACGCTGCGGAAGAGTCGCCCTGTCGGCGCCAGTCCGCGCAGCCAGCCTATCCGATTAGACAGGTAGGGCCAAAGCGGCACGCTGGAGGCTGAACCACTCAGCGCGAGGTACCACCGCCGTGCGCGGGGTAGGCAAAGACAGGGCAGGGACCTACAGAGCTCTCACTCCACGATCCACACCGCTGCCCATGGTGGGACCGGTGCGTCAGCCATCGCTCCGAAACCAGATACCGGCCAACAGGTGGGGACGAAACGACACGCTGAAGGCAGAACCGCTCAATGCGAGGCTTTAACACCGCCGTACGCGGGGTCGGCTGGGATACGCAGCGGGAGACTCGCCCTGTCGGCGCCAGTCCGCGCCGCCAAACTAGCCGAACAGGCAGGTAGTACCGACGCGACACGCTGAAGGCTGCACCACTCAGCGCGAGGTACCACCGCCGTACGCGGGGTCGGCAGAAAACGGGCAGGGACCTACAGAGCTCTCACTCCACGATCCACCCGTTGCCCATGGTGGGGCCGGTGCGTCAGCCATCGTCTCCGAACTGGTGGGGTTTTTTTGTTTGTTGTTTTTCTTTTTTTTCAGCCGCAGGCGGAAGCGCCAGCGGCGGAAGGTCGCGAACGGGCCGCGGACGCGACTAAATTACCTAACGCGCGCAGGGCCGCGGATCAGGCGGCTCACGACAGCGTCCAGGGGGCCGAAGCCGATGCAATCCAGGTGCCGTAACAGCCCCTGAACGGGCATGCAGGTGCGTCCAACAGGCCTGAGGTAAGCACCGAGACCACCAAGCGCAGCCAAAATGGCGCGATAACGTTCCAACGTCCAGGTGCGGACAAGGGAACGACCCGAGGACGTCAGCCCCAGCCTGTCGGGTAGCACAGACGACGAGGTGGTAAGTCCAACGAGGATCCCGACGGCGGCAACGAGCCGCGGCGCCAG